ATAGGAACGAAAATGAGCAAATAAGCGACCTCAGAGATTCTGCCCTTATTTTCACATTAGTCAATATAATAGGAGGAAATGGTGTAGAGTGTCCCGTTTACAACGCTCATGTACGGGTCGAATCCGGATCAGATTCCGCCCAAGTCAACGAGCTTTTTTCCTCCGGGACAGTAAACTGGTTGATCCAGCTGGAAGGACAAACACTGACTGGTTCATCGGCTCACCATAGTTGTTATAAGAGCACGTCCTGCCGTTGGAGGAAACCTGCGCGAAATAAGCCCACCTCCTTCAAATTTCCACCTAAGGCGCGATTCCCACTTCTCCATCCCCTATGCTGCCATCTTCCTGAATTCTCCCGGATTCCCACACTACCTTTCCGGAGTTTTCTCCTCGAAAAATTGTGTCGAGCCGGAGATAGGGTGAGAGGGGGTAAATAGCTCAAGTAGCACTTGTGAAACAAGAAAGTCCGAGACAGGCCAAGAACTGAAAATATTTTTGGCAAAGGCTAATACGACCTCCGCCCCTCCCTACAACGCTCGAATAGGCCCCATCCCTTTGCTGGAGATCCCAAATACTACTTGCCCCGGTTCTTCATACAGAATATTGAGCTGCAATCCAAAACATCAATTAAAAAGTGAAGCTCTACCTCGTCCCCCTTATATATCTTGCGTGGCATTAGATTGATGGGTATTGATCGATATGGGGGATATTTTTTTCATAAACACTCAGCAATAAAATAAGTCACGTCTTGGTGACTAATGATTTGAACCAAATTTGAGATTTTCCGCTTTCCGAGTTTCATCGATTTACTTTCACCGGAATTTCCACGAATTCTTTCAGATCTTAGGAATTGGTGATATTTAAGGTCTTCAAGAATCTTACAGATTTTATACCTTATTAGATTTCATCTATAATTATATTGAAGAATGCAATTAAATACACCCCTCCAGATTGTTTTTTATTTATTTGCTTGTATGTGTTTATTTATTTACCCTGTAGCGGCTAAAACTGGCCACAAAATCAGTTTGATAGGGTGAATTCGAAAAATCGCAATCAAAATTGCAGCAATTCAACAAATCAATAGACCCCCATGGTGTCTGAAGAAGGTCACTATAACAATCGAACTTATTGAAAGGTATCTTTTAAGGCGATGTTGGTCGAGAAATGCGCGCCACAAGGATGTCGGTTGTGGACTTCTGGAAGAACGAAACCCTTGGCGACGGTTTCAATATTCGTGTCGCACATGGAGTTAACAGTTGGCCGGATCTCGTTGATCAACTACACGGTATGTTCCTCAAAGCATTTCTTTCATTTCAGAAATATAGAACACGCTAAGCGTACATAGTACCTTCCTCATTATATCGGACACTGTACCTCTTGCATCCCCTACCCTTATTAGAAGGAGCAGTGAGAGAACCGGTGAGAGAACCCTGGTTGCTGACTGTTCTCCGCCCACGCAGTCACAG